GATGTACGTAAAGACAGATGCTACTGAGATAAGAATTTAATGTTTATTGAATTGTTGTGTGTGTGTGTGTGTGTGTGTGTGTGTGTGTGTGTGTGTGTGTGCCACTAACAAGGTTCCTCCCGTTGTTACAGACTGGAGATGTTTGCCGTAGATGAGGCCAGAGTGGCATGGGTGTGAGAGTGTCATGGTGGGTCGTGGGTGTGGTGGTGGTGGTGGGAGCCTAGCGCCACCCACCGCGAAGGCTGCTGCCCTGCCCCCCCGCCCTCTGCCCGCCCCCTGCCCCCCCACCTGCTGCCATGGTGCAGGCCAATGAGGAAGTGATGTGCGACTCCCGGCCCTCAACAAGTGGCTCTGGTCCGTATGTCCACAACAAGGTGGCACTCAACAATAGGTGGCCAGGGGGGGCGCGGCCCAAGATCTTCAACCACAGGTCCTTCAGCTCAGGCTCGCGGCCATCGGTACTGTCGCGGGCTTCTGGGTCGCTACGGTCAGTGTCGCGGCCAGGGTCACGCACGGGCTCGGGTCTTGGCTCGCGGGGGTCGCTGCTCTCAGGTTCGGTAGGGACAGCAGAGGATGTGGGTTCCGGGGTGTCCAGACTACGGAGGGAACTGCCTTCCATCTCGGACATCTGCGGTTACGACGAGGTGCAGGAGCTGCTGCGGGACATAGAGCAGCTGGAGTGCCGGCGGTGGACGTCCGACTGGGACTCCTTCACCATCCAGTCCTCGCACCCTGACCTCGACCTCCCGCACGACCTTGACCTCCTCTCCCATGACCTCGATACCATCTCCCGGTCTGACTCCCGCCTCTCCTGGGACTCCCACGCGGGCCGGCAGCCAGACGACGATGACGACGACCCCAACCCCAGTCCCGGCAACTACTCCCCTGAACCTCAGAGAAACCGTCGTCCAACACCCACTATTACCATAGCCTGGGATGACTCCCACCTCAAGACCTCAGTTGGCATTTTTAGACTATTATTAGTAGTAAGTCCAGTGGTCCTTTATAGTAAGTCCAGTGGTCCTTTATAGTAAGTCCAGTGGTCCTTTATAGTAAGTCCAGTGGTCCTTTATAGTAAGTCCAGTGGTCCTTTATAGTAAGTCCAGTGGTCCTTTATAGTAAGTCCCGTTGTCTATTTTAGACTGTTATTATTAGTAAATCCGTTGATACTCTTTCCTTTAGTCTGTTGTTAGTGGTAAGTCCAATAGTTTTTTGTTTATTAGTACTAATAAGTCCAATAAATTCTTTTATTTAGTCTATTATTTGAAATAACTCCAATAGCTATTAAGTTGAAAAGAATTATTAAATAAAAATATAGATTTGTGGACCAACTTCTCGATATATTTTGACCCACTTCTGAATTATTTTAGGTAGTTACCCCTCGACCAACACAGCATTAAACTTAACAATAACCTGAAGCATTATCAATCTAACTTAACTAAAAAATTAACCAAATACAAATATTTAATTTCTTTAGACTATAATGGAAGGATAAATGTATATTTAATGTATTATATTAATTTATTTTTTAGGTTCATATTCCCTAGTGTATTGTCGGGTAGGGAAGAATTTCTTTGTCTTCAGGAAGGTTAAAGTGTCTTACTCAATGGACTAATTCATCATATTTCAAGAGGTTTTCTCATGATACTAACACATTCATTATATTCCAGGTTGTGTCCGTTCTAACAATGACGTGCGCATGTACGGTAGGGACGGCCCGTTTGAGTATATTTGTACTACCCGGAGCCTGGCGTCTGCGGGTGGTCGTGTTTACTGCCGTGTTCACCATCCTTACCACCACCATCCTCCTGCTGCTGCACCTCTCATCCCTCGTGCACTCACTCACACTACGCTGGGATAAGCTGGTCAGTCCGGGGGCTCTTGTTCTTGGTTGACTTTATTACTACTATTACTACTACGACTAATACTACTACTACTATTATTGCTACAGACTACTACTACTACTTTTTATCTTAATATGGCCTCCAGCCTCCCCCAATAGCCACACCTTCGCCGCCATTTTATTACCTTAAAATTAAATATCCTAATACATAAGTAACTATCCTAGCTGTGTGAGTTAGTTGAGCCGCAGATCTATGCAGCATTCAGTGACTGTAGCCTCATAGTCAATATCTGCAACTGTTGTCGGCTTTGGGGCCGATGCTCTTGTTCCCCTGAGGCAGAGCAAAGCCGACTTAAGGAGAGAGAAGGACAGTCGACATCTCATCCAACTGTTTGCATTCAGACCTGAGGGGCCGGTTGTTCGAGTGTTTTAAATAATTTCTCTGTTTTTTTTGAACAGGACAGTATTTGGTGGGTTATAGGCACCTGGGAGCTCGGATGTTTCTATTTCGCTTACTACTACTACTATTATTATTATTATTTACTACCATACATTACTATTACTACTATTATTTTACTATTACTATTTACTACTAATACTATTTCTCACTACTACTACTTCACTACTACCACTACTAACCACCACCACCACTACTACCCCACCACCACCACCACCCACCCCACCACCCCACCACCACAACCACCACCACCCCACCACCACCACCCACCACCACCCCACCACCACCAATCACCCCACCACCACCATCAATTCCACCACCACCACCACCTCCATCACCACCACCTCACCACCCCACCAACTGTCTCCACCACCACCACCACCACCAACTGACCAACTCAATCACCACCAATCACCACCACCACCACCCCACCAACTGACCACCACCCCACCACCACCAACTGACCCCACCACCACCACCACCCCCACCACCACCACCACCTCACCACCACCTCACCACCACCTCACCCCACCACCGACCACCACCTCACCCCACCCCACCACCTACCCACCACTACCTCACCACCCCACCTCACCACCACCTCACCTCAACCTCACCGACCACCACCTCACCACCACCACCACCTCACCACCACCACCACCACTCATCACCACCACCACTCACTACCACCACCACCACTCACCACCACCACTCACTCACTCACCACCACCACCACCACCACTCACCACCACTCACTCACTACTACCACCACCACTCACCACCACTCACTACCACTACACCACTACCACTTTTTTTTTTTTTTTTTTTCAAATGGCCTGCAGCCTCCCAACAGCCACACCCTCGCCACCATTTATTTCACTCATTAATCCATCCCAATACATAAGCAACCATCCCATCTGTGTTAATTATTGAGCCGCAGATGCGCATTCGTGACTGTAGCCTCACAGTCGATATCTGCAGCAGTTGATTGAGTAGGGCAGCTCTCGTTCCTGAGTGGTGCCGACTTAAGGAGAGAGAAGGACAGTCGACATCTCTATCTAGGCTGTGACATAACTTCTGGGCTGTTGCTTGTTCGGAGATCAGCTCCAGCTCATGCGAGAAACATCTTGGCACTGGAATTCATTCACCAGAGGTTGTGAACATTAGAGGAGTGGGAAGCTGCTCTGATCAACATTTTGAATTCTCTCCCATGTCCCCTTCTCTTTGTCGTTCTTGTTCCTCCTATGCGCAGCATCGAGAGCTAGGTTGCGGTGACAAACGGCCATGGGATCAAAAAATCTTGATGTCGAAGAAGGCTCGCTGTCCCTGCCCAGAATCCTTCGAGCACTGACGTCCACACGGGCTTCTGTTAGATGTGTTTGAAGTCCTGTGTTGGAGGATCTTGCCATCCAGTGGAAGGAGGGTCGGTTCTACCATGACGTCCTGGCAGATTTCCTTCAAATATATTTGCTGTGAGATCCTTACTCGTCATGCCTCATGTATATGAAGTCCCTCTTCTGGTAAAACCATGGCGTGATCAAGATTGGGAGGGCAAATCCATCTACTGGCCAACCGTACCTTAGAGCAATGGCATCTGTAAATTTGTTTGTTAAGGCTGAAACCATTTGCCCTTATCGGTAACGTAGTTAACCAGTTCGAGGCGTGCCCACCTCCCGCGCTATAGCTATTTTTTTTTGTCAGATTTTTCTAACCTGCAGCAATAGTTGCTGCAACATGTCATTTTGGTGTGCTGCTGATCTGTTGTAATGGATCTACGGATCTTATTAACTTCTTGCTGGTGTCCATTTCCGGCTGTATTCTGGGCTATTATGTGGTCAGTGAGGGCTGCCGTGAGCTTAAGTGAATTCTTGATGTTCAGAGTCAGCAATCTCTCTGGATTAGTTAGTCCCATCCTCCCAGTCTTGGTGGAAGTGCAAGAAGTGTTCTTTCTACTGGGGTTAGTCGTGGTGTTTCACTAGTTTGGGAATGAACTTGACACTGATTGCTTTCCAAAGGGGTGAGGAGGGGTCGATCTCAGGATGGCACGATGTAGTCTCCAAACGATGCTTGACTCTATGTGTGGATGCTGCAAAGGCCGTGACAGGCTCCTGTGTGTTAGCAATTCCGATAGAGCATGGATTGCTAACCCACTTATTCACCTTTCCCTTAGGTACTGGGTCTTTAAGTCCGAAGGTGGATCACTGCGCCTAGATGTCTTTGGCCGTCCTTAGTTATTTTGTTCTTCACTTTCGTCGAAATCTCTACAGTCTGACTATAATGACCAATGATGGAAGGATTTGTGGCGGTAAATTTATTTAGATCTCGTTACCAGGTCCCACCACTTTTTGATGTCCTCCACTTTTCTCCTGCTCCTGTGAGGTCATCAGCATATGCCACTTGTTTGACCCTAGTTGTTTCATACTTTATTTCTTGTTGGAGCACTGATAGGCTTGTTGCACACATTGTTACTGCAACGGGGTCTCCTGTGTTGTCTCGGTCGATGTAGGATGGTATCACTTTAGAGCCTTGTTGTTTATTTCTTAGAGGCTGATGCGATTCTTATACAATTTTCAACACATCGAAGTTGGACACTTTACTTGATTCTATGTTGTGCTAGTGCTAGTTTTATTGGTTGGTGCTTTTATAATCTAGTTTTATAGTATCTATACTAGTAGTAATCTATTCTACTACTACTACTAC